GGAATGATTACGATTCAAGTGATTCGAAGATTTTAATATAGACCTCACAGAGAAGCATAGACCTATTGCCCTATTGAGTTCAACTGAGAGCTTACTGGATAACCTTATTCATGGAGATTCATACCAGGGATGGGGAATCGTTTGAGGTCATGGAATGCTTCCTTATCATCATCAACCACCACCCTCAGTTGATGTTAGACGTTCGAAAATTAGTGGAATAGGTTCTGCAGGCCGTCGCTCCCCAGGAGGGCCCCCCAGCGTTGCACATTTACAAGGTCCAAAAACCCATCTCATGATCGCTTGAACCAACTTCAGGCTGCCATAAGAAGCATATTTCCTTGGTCATATATATCACAAGTTTTGAGCTTCTTCTGTGGTTTGAGAGCCGAGATAAAGTGCAAAAAGTAGTTGTCGAAAACTCACTTTTGCGTCGACCCGAATTTCCCTTTCAATGAAATAAAAATCGACACAATTCGAGAAATAGTAAGAAGGCAATTATGCTATCTTATAGAGCAGAAAATTATCTATCGAACAGTGTAGAACTCATTGGGAAAATTATCATTTTCCATATAAAAATTTGCGTGAGAAAAAAACGCCATTACTTATGGGCCAACCCAATAGTTCCGGTTTACAAGTCTCACTCTGGCGAAACCTGTGAACTCTTGTGAAGCTGGAGCAAGGTCGTCAAGCCATCATGTTAAAACCTGTCAACTCGAGAAGAGGCTGTCTAGATAGGTCACACGTCGATGGGAAGTAGCAAAAGTGCAAAATGCCCCCCCCCCTCGCGTCGACGAACTGCGCCTGACAAGTGCTCTTTACAAGATCTCTGCAAACTTTGGCTGGTACCATTTCGTGACTTTACAACGTTTCACAGATCTTCACTTGATGGCTCGTCGGTGCACGGGAAATAGCGAAAGTGCGGAATACAACTCCCTCAGGGTGAACTGAACCCTTTTTTTGAACTTTCGAATTCGATTCATAGTCACCTTTCACCACACTATGGAGTTCACGTAGACAACTGGCTATCTAAACAGAGCGCGTCTTACGAAAGGTCCCAGCGTGAGGGTCGTATTTGGCCGCTAGAGGGACGGGGTCGTCGTCGCCTTCGAGAAGAATTTTTTGATTGTTGACTTTTCTCGGTTTTTCATGTTTCAGGTGCACTATATACGCTCCCTCGCGCCCATCCCCCACCCGATGGTAGATTCGGGGGGTAGGGGAGGGGGGAGCGAGAAGTGAAGGAATTCTCTGAAAAAATTCGAAAAATGATAGAAAGTTGAAAAAACTCGAGGATATAGTAGGTATGATAATTAAAAATAATAATAAAACATAATAAAAATAAAAA